CAGTGATTAATATATTGATATCTATATGAATGGGGTGTTGCATTATATTTCGCCCTCAAGCTCACTAGCATATCCCCCATCACCACTCCCCACTTTTACGATCTTCCATCATCCCCCTTATGAGATCCAACCGCTTCTCTCTCGACGTTTTGTTCCATATTTTTATGGTAACCTAAATTTTCTGGGTAAATGGTGGAGATTGGAACTGGAGTTAAAATCTCCTGACAGTCCGAACTTGTAGAAGATGTAGATGAAGAAGATACTACGTCTTCATATTGGTTGCCCCAGGAATGAACCTTAGATTCATCCAAACTCATGCAAGTAATCGAGGTGGAAATGCAGTAAAAAGAAATGTATTTTTTTTAAGGAGAATACCTGGGAATGGACGACCTCACTCAGAAAATAAATAAAACTTTACAGAAAAGTTGTAGAAGAAAACCTTTACTTCTTTGAAGGAGAAATCCAGGAGTAAAAAGTGTGAAAATGAAAGGTAAAAATGCATATAAAGGGATAGGAGATGAAGAGGTGCATCCTGGACTGTCAGATGAGAAATAGGAGGAAAAATGAATGGCCAAAACCCACCATACTAAAACGGCGTTGTTTCGGGCAAAGCTTCCCAAGGAAGCCAATTTGGGTGCACGACGGCTCATCGAATGTAGAAAGCAACACCTATCGAGTCCATTTATTTCATTAATCAAAATGAAATATGGAAAAGCGAGACAATCACGTCCTAGGTCACCTAGGCAAGAACTGACCTCGGGGATAACTGTTAACATCCGACCTGCGACCTAATTAAGACCAATTGTAGCATACATTCAGTATATCTTAATTTGAGATTGGCTTTATAAGGTCAGCTCATAACGCCATGGTTTGAGGGAACATGATGATTATAGATTCCTTACACAATGATAAAACATCTAATCAAATTAATTATTGCATTCAGAATTTACGTCAGCACCCATCTATTTCACCAATCATATAATGTAGCTTCGCTTACTCACTAGCTTATTAATTGCAGGGACTCACTTAAAGGAAGGTTTTATGATAACCTGACAAAGTCGACCTCAGTAACCAATGGAGATATGCCAGTAACGTACTTTCTCTGTCCGGCACTAGTGATTGACAAAACTTCCAAGGATGGCAACGGGACGGGGCGGGGTCGGGAGAGGTCCTTGCCCCGTTTACTACCGGTTTAAATTTTATTTTTTTT